ACCGAATGATCGGTCTGGCATCTGTTAAGACTAAATTCTAATGCCGCCTCAGAGAATTTTCCAAACCAAGCTCGTGGAGATTGTTTCAATCCATACAAGGCATTTTTAAGGCGACAAACAGTGTGACGATACTCCCCCCGAGTAACAAACCCAGGTGGTTGCTCCATGAACTTCTTTAACCAAGTCACCATGCAAGAAAGCATTTTTGACATCCAATTGAAACAACGGCCAGTTACAATTGGCAGCAATGGAAATAAGTATCCGAATAGGAGAAATCTTAGCAACAGGGGAAAAGGTCTCATCATAATCAACACCATAAGTCTGAGTGTACCCTTTTGTCACTAGACGAGGCTTCAACCGCTCAATAGACCAATCGTGAAGGTATTTAACAGTGTAGACCCACTTACAACCAACCGTTTTGGAGCCCAGACGTAAGGGAACAAAATCTCAAGTCCATTACGGTGAAGGGCATCCATTTCATCTACCATGGGTTGCGCCAATCTGAATTAGAAAGAGCATCCTGCGAAGTCTTGGGAACAAAAGTAGCAGACATTTTGGATAAAAAAATATGATAAAGATGATGAAACATTATGGTAGGAGACAAAGTTAGAAATGGGATGTGCAGTAACATGTAGTAACACACGATCGAGTACCCTTACGGAGAGCAATAGGCAAATCCATAAAAGATATCGAATTGAAAAAACAAATTACAAAAGTTCGAATTGAAAAAACAACTGACAATCTAGAAGGAAGTATAATATATTTCAGATCCATAAAAGAAGACCACTGTATCAAAACTCAGAGAAGAAAGAACCATCACAAAAGTTTTGCACAGAATGTGTTAATTGACTGACTTATATTTTGCAAGGATTCATATATATATATATAGATCCGAGAAGTAAAAGACGATCAAAATTAGGATTTTACCTGAAAAGATCGAAAAAATGAGAACCGACATGGTCCAACAATATGATTTATTATTACACGTGATTTATTTGAGGATTCAGATAAAATAAAAAAGGTGTATATTACAATTTTGATCCATTTAAGATGTGTTTGAATCTATTTGACATATTTTTTCACGAACATTTGCAAACATTTTTTAGTGATAAAAACAAATTAAAATGGTTAAAGAAAATAAAAATAAGAAGCAAGTTCATTGAAAAAACATTTATCTGGAAAAATAAAATAAAAAAAGAAAAAAAAAGAGAGAAGAACCATTCGTAGAATCAAAGAAATAATAGAACAAAGTAAAACACATGCTCAAAACACACAGCCAATTAAAAATATGCAGAGTTTATTTTCATACATATATCAAAGCAAAAGCAAAAACAAAAACAGAAAGAAATTAGAAGCAAAGGTATCTTTATATATATGATGACCCAAGAAGACTAAAAAGTTAGTTGAGCCCAAACTTGGCCCCACTAAAAATTCAGACTATTAGTCTTATTGGGCCATTAGTTAGTTTAAACTCAAAAGAAAAAATATTTTAGTTTCTTAAGCCCAATAGTAATATAAATCATATATATAGCATAATAATAAATTTACCATATGATAGGAGAACATACCAAAAGTCTCTAAGTACCCCTTTTTTTTTCTTTTCTTTTTTCTTTTTTAAGTTGATATTTGACGCTTTATATTTATTTTATACATATCTATGTCACTATTGACAACGTCGATTTTTATGAACGAATATACCAAAATTTGGCTAGATATATTTTTATATGCATTTAATAAATAGTCGAATACTTTTGGCTTATAAATAATTTTGTGATGTTTTAAACTTCCTGATCATGTTTGTGACAAATAGACATCTCTTTACAGACTTTACTCCGAAGTGAGTTGGGTGGCTTGGGAAAGATGTGTTTATCAAAAGTACTTGAAGATGCAAAGAATCAACTCTCTCTATTTTGACAGAGTCTCATTACATTTTCAACCAAAAAACCCCTTACTTTCTCTCTTTCCTGCCTATTTATAGGCATTTACAAGTGCTATTAGCATGCTTTAAGTGATTCCCTAAGTTGGGTCCCTCGACCTCAGGCTTCATTCCTTAAGGGCCCAGCTCTTCTCGGAAGATCCCATACATTCGGCCCATTCCGCAACGTCATCGTATGGGATGAGTCCAGTTTCTCGACCCGATCCTCTTTTCGTGGGTCATATCCGGCCATGTCATTTCCGGTATCCACAGTACTAAAGGGTGGGATAGGGTTCAGACTTCAGATAGATAAATTGTTTCAATAATGCATTGTTAGCCAAACAGTATTGTCATTCAAACTTGGCGGGAATTCGTGTATGGGTCTGTGGACACCTAAATTTTGTGATGATAGTCTAATCATTATCCCATCAGTCAAGAAGTCAATACTTTTGGCCAGTGGAGTTCATTTCGAGTTGACACGTGTCAAATTTTGGAGGTTGCAGCTTTAAAAGAAAAGTGTTTGTAATTCAAATTTATTTCCATATAAAAAAAAGATAACAATTTTTTTTTTTTTAAAGATAAACTAGAGTGACACATGTTTGCCCCATTAAAAAATAATTATTATCATACCATTACTTGTTTCTAATACTCTCTTCATCTCAAAATAAGTGTCATATTTTTCTTTTTTGTCTGTACCAAAATAAGTGTTCACTTTCCTTTTTCAAACAATATATTTCACATCATTTCAAAAATGTCCTTTGAATTTAAATTTCAAACTTGAATATTCAAAACTTAAAAGAGCAAGTTAGTAATTTTTCAGACAGACAATGTATGTCCCACATGTTTCCTTAAAAATTACTATCCCCGTAAGTAACACTTGTATTAGGACGGAGGAAATATAATAGACACATAATAGACAAAATTAAAAAATATACAATAACTACCAAGTAAATGGATCTCTCGTCCTCAATTTCATAGACTTGATTAGGCAAAGGCAATTATAATCGGTGATGTTCAGACAGATCACAGTTTTGATTAGGCAAAAGCTACTTACTCGGGAGGTGCGAGACTCTCTCTTCATGCAAAACGTCTGATCCTTGAATGGAATGTACCTGTCGTCGTTCATCAGGAGTCACCGATCGTTTCAATTAGGGTTGTGCTTTGCCCTAATTTGCTTCTCAGGATTAAAATATCTATAAACTACTTGCCTTGTCCTAATTTGCTTCTCACCAGGATTAAAATATTTGTAGGCTCTGTTTGGAGGAGCTTTTAGTTTCTAAAATTCCTTCCATTGAATCAGTTTTGAAGAATGCATTTTGACGAAAGGCATTTAAAACAAAAAAGTTGTTTGGTGGGTAAATTTTTTGAAGCTCTTAACTATTAATATAATTTAATTTGACAATTATATCCTTAATAAACCATGAATAATAGTAAAGAATTGAATTGGAATGTACAAAGAAGTGAAGAAAAAAAAATCATAATTAAAGTGATGGAAGCAACGATTATTTGGCATAGTGAAAATCCAGGTATACAAATTTAACCCAATCTACATGATTGAATTTTTTTTTTTCTTGACTATATGATAGAAGTTGAAAGTGATGGCAAAAAGAAAGGGAAAGAAAAATAAAACAAAAGAGAGAGATGGTAGCAAAAATATCCCATTTTTATTTTTATTTATATCTATAAATCAATTTAACAACGGAATTATATATATAGAGAGAGAGAGAGAGAGAAAAAAAATATTTAGAATTCTACATAAGATTGAATTTCGGATAAGATTTCATAAATCTTGGAACTCTTTCAGACTTTGAAGTCAAATAGGAGTCCATAGTAATTTTTCCCGCAACTCCTCAATCTTTTTATTCTTCCTTTGTTGAATCGTTTTTCAACAATATTTTTTTCAATAAAGTTAAATTTTGCTTAACATTATTATTATTATTATTTGGGTAGAGAATGAAGGAAGAAAATGATACAGAAATAGAAAGATAAGAGTTTGCAATTAAATTCATAAATGGAAATAAGTTAAATAATGGACAATATAGGAATTTTATATTTATTACTTAAAAAAATGTGTAGCTTGCGGAAGCCGATTAGAAAGTATGTTTTATTGGCTCTGGTCAATCGAGCTTCTAAACCATTGAAACTTTTTAAGAGTCCGTTTTCATAAATTTTACCGAACGCTCTTTATAATTGGCAAAATACTTTCTGGGCTTAGAAGCTTATTTTGAGGCTACAGGAAGCCCAGCCAAACAGCCCCATAAACTACTTGCCTTTGTAGCTTTACACCGATTATAGTTGCCTCTTTAAGGAGACATAGCTAACTCCTAGGTCTTTCTCTTTTGTCAGATTCAGGGGACTCTGTTGTCAAGGTTAGAGAAGGAGATGAGATCTTTTGAGGAGGCCATTAATGCCATCGCCTTAGATGGCATTATGTTTGAGGCATGAAAAATGCTACTCCGATTCAATTAGCTGGAAGGGCCAGTAGTTTCTTGAATTTGCTGACTTTTTCATTAGATAATCTCGTCATTCTCTGATCCAAATCCCAATGGCGAACCATCCCCCGAGTTTGTGAAATACCCATGTCGGGCATGACATGGGTATCAGTAAGTGTCCCTTATAGTACCTTTGTGTCTATCAAAAAGAATGAAGGGACAAATATATGCCTTCAAACATGAAAGTTCCAAGTGAATTGCTACTAACCGGTAGCTTGTAGGCATTTGTTCCCTAGGGGTGTCTCGAAAACAATGAAGGCACAGAACATGAACGATCTAAATGAATCTAAGCTTCACTACAACAAAGTTCGAAAGATTTAATTTGATTAATTCGTTGCTGCGGACAGCTATATTCGTGTAATATATATTTATATTGGGATGACTGAAAAAAAATTGAAGTTATAATTAGTTTTTTTTCAGTATATCCCAATATGATGCACAACAGGTTAGTGTTATGGATATATACATATAGAGAGTTATATTTTTCTTTTCTTTTTTTCTCTCTAAAAAACGTTTAAGTTATACATATAGTAGAGAGGGAAAATTGAAGATTAGATTTTTATATTGGGAAAAATTGAAGTTCCATCAAAGAATTATAGGATTACTAAAGCTGCTCCAGCAGGAAGTTTGGTTCGGAAGTTCTCGGCACGCTTTCTTGCTATTTTTTTCTCCTTGGTCTCCATGAACTCCCATGGAGTTCCTATTAGATTCGGTTTGCGAGAATCAAAAGTAATCTTCTCAAGCATGATGGCGTTCTTGATTAAATACATAGCAAGCTCAACATCATTTGTACGCCCAACAAACCCAATTAATTCCACCACCTTAAGATACTGATGGGGCCGAGACGCAAAACTTCGTCGTATTTTTTTCAGATCTCGCTTGTATAATTCCAACTGTAACAAGGAGGAACGGAGTCATACAGTGACATATACACTAAAAGTAGATCATTAGCATACAAAACCAAAATACCAAGCATCAAATCGTAACTCAGGACAAGTTAGAATCATGGCATTGCTAGACTGAATAGAATAGCCAAAACGATCAAATATATTCTGTTATAACATATTGAACATATTCTGTTATATATATATGATTCAACAATCAAATATTTTGTCTTAGCAACCATAAAATTCATCAAGCATTTAAGAAATAAAATCAAGAAAAGTTTAATTGCTTAGGAATGACAACATGATTACATTAGTATTCCATGTCTTACAAAGACACAAAATGATAAAAGTAAAGAAGAAGAGATAATACAGCGTTAGAGGAATTCACGCTGTTTTGAAAAGGGTCCTAAGGTAATTGAACAATCATTAGAATAAAGCAAAATGGACAATGTAAAACTCTCAGGCAATAAATAATAAATAATAAATATTAAATCAACATAACAAAATTATTGATCAATCAGGAGAATAGAGCAAGCTAAACATTGTAAGAGCATTTTTCCTATTTCTGGTAAAATTATAATTTGTAATAGCAATAAAGAAGCAAGTACCTAGGAAAATTGAAATCTTTTAAGCCGAAGTACAAATGAATCAATGTTTACAATTCAAAATTCAATTTCAAAAGCAAAAAACCTCACATTGTTTTAAATGTGCAATGTAAAGTAAGACTTATTACCTGTAACACAAATTTACTCAAGAAAGGGCACGCCTCTATCAGGGGAGCAAAAACAAGAAGACTTTGATGATCACTTGCTCCAGTAATTATCAACTCTAGTTGCTTGAGCTTATTAAAGACCGGAAATTTAGCAAACTCGATATTATTCTGAATAAACCAAAGAAAAAGTAGTAAATCAGCACAAATTGATAATTATGTTAAAAAATGAATAAAATAAAAATTAAGGGGAGGAGATAAAAAATAATTAGTTAAACTAACTAACCTCAATGGAGGTCATGTGCAACGTCATGTGCAACGTAAGGCTCTCTAGCTGAGCAAGATGGCTTGAAATATCGAAAAAGTTGTTATTAATTAGATAATTGCAGTACTCACCCCCAATAAACAGTTCAACAAGCTGCTTGACCATCTTAAATGGCTGGCTTATTTTTGGTCCAAAATACTTAAATGACACTAGATTCATAGCTGAAATTTCAATACTTTCCACATTGAAGCAGTAAATTATCTCCAAGCGCTTCAATTTGAGTGAGTGATATGGAATTTTCAGATTTACCAGACAGTCGGATTTTTTCACAGACAATTGCTCCAAAAATGGGCAGTTAGTTAAGAAGTCCTCAAGAACTTGTCCAGTTACATTCACGTCTGTGAGTAAGAGATTGGTCAGCGAGTTGAACCTAGTAAACCCAAGGGACAATGAATGCAGGTGATCTGTAATTCGGTCCGTGTCAGGAAAATTGTAACGCTCCTTGATTTCCCCACTTTCATAAAAGTCTAACTTAAGTCTTTTAACTCTCTTTTCTATTGCAAAATTAACCCAGTTGTCAATATCAAATTTACTACTGTCATCAAGATCAAATTGAACTCTGAATTGATCTAAACTTGGACCATTGTACGAGTTCAAGACTTGATTAACCCAACTCAAATACAAAGGCTTTTCTACTTCAAGTTGCTTATCACCCAGTAGAATTCCCTTTTGTATATGTGAAGCATCAAAGTTCAAAGCAGTAATGTAAGTCCACATATATCTCCATCTCTTTGACAGGAGACTAGTTCTTCCCGCTTCCTTCATCGTCAATAGTGACAATATTGAAACAAGTACAACATCAGGAAGTCCGCTAATACGATCCTCCAAACACAACCCTCCTTTATCATCCTTCTCACTACTCCAAGTAAAGTGAAAAATAAAAAAATAAAAAAATAAAAAAATAAGAGTGTGAAATAACAGAAACAACACGGTGCTGCTGAATTTTTGTAACAAAACGTCTTCATGTAAAAATTAAATAAACAGAGATACATAAATCCAGACACAAGTGAAAAGATGGTACCTTGCGTTTTTAGCACAACATATTGAGGCGTGTCCATTGGTTTTCTCCATGGGAATTGATTTTGCAGTTTTCTGGATAATTTATCGCATAAATCTGCAGAACCAAGATATAGCAGGAGGAGAAGATGTAGAGATTAGAGATATAAAACAAATTTTGGTTGCTTTATTGCCAACAATTTTATATACCAACTTGGAAAGTAACGTTAAATTGAGCCTGTAGCAACTTGGGAAAGTAATGTTAAATTGAGCCTGTACAAACTTGGAAAGCAAATAAAGTAATAACCTTTTATTTTGTGTCTTAGTAGGATTAGGCAACTTGATACCGGATTAGCCTTTAATTAATATTTATATATATACATACACTCCGAATTTGATACAGGTTTAGGGCAACTTGATATTTGGAAAAGACGTTGAAGGCCCAATGACGGAGGTTCAATGTCATAAGCCCGGTCCAATTTTTTTTTCCGGTCCAAGCCCATTTTCTAGAGAAAAAAAAGGGAAAAAGAAAATAGAATAATCACCGGTTTGCTACATGGGCATATTTGGAAAAAAAAAATTAATATTAAGGTTCATTAGTTTTGAAGTTTCGCTTTATCAATAGATCTATTAGATCTAGCCAGTAGACTGAATATGATGACTTTTTCTTCATTAGAGGAAAGTATACAGTATTAGTATTTGGTTCAATGTCTAATAAACAACTGTCGAGAAGTAAAAAATAAAAAATAAAAATAATAAAACAAATAAATAAATAAAGACAAAGAAAATTCTCGATAAATAAAAACAAAGAAAATTCTCTTCAGAAAATTATACAAAAAAAAAATGAAACTGTAAAAGAAAGTGTTGAAGAAATTACATAGATCACAACATCCGATGTGTTTCGTATTTGACAACTGACAAGAACGAAAAATATAAAATTTACCGAACAAATTTTGATGATGAAAGAAAAACTTACAAAATATTGTAGATTTGATTTACAGATCTTGTAAGCGTTGTGCCTTGAGACTTGAGAGAGACAGGCAGTTGTGCGCGGGAAGTCTAGGATTAGGGAACTTGATACCGGTTTAACCTATAGATTCACAAAACTTACAGATTTTGTATCGCATGCGCGGTGGAACTGAATGGCAGCAACATCTAACACGCCGACGTAGGCTTCTAGTCCAGGGTTAATTATTATGTCTCAACAACTTTTGCAAACCAACGGTTGAGATGCTTTAAAATTTAATGGCTGGGATGAAATCTGATGTGCTGATGGAATTATCAATTCTTTGGGCCTTGGTGAGTTGGGCCGAACTTATTATACTCATATAGGATTACGCCTTTTAAAACTATAGTGGATATCCGAATGGGCTTCCTTACGTGGTCTATTGGTCTTGCATTGTAAGGAAGCCCACTAATGCGGTCCTCCAAACACAACCCTCCGTTATCAACCTTCCCACTATTGAAACTAAAGAAGAAGAAGAAAAAAAAAAAACAATAAAAATAATTAACAAAGTGTGATAACAGAAACACCACAATGTAAAATATATGTAAATTTTTACCTTGCGTTTTCAGGAAATATTGAGGTGGAGAAGATGAACACAGGACTTACTTTTGTTCTGCACAGAGAAGAAAAGAGGGCAACTTAACCTATTCAACAAACGTGCTCGTTCATACTCATATTTGAATTAGGGTTTGTTTGTACTTTTCGTGTCTTCCTAGGTTTAGGAAATTATTACTCCATATATGGTAAGTGAGGTTTCTTTTCTTTTTTTATTTTTAATTCGCTTTTGGTAAGTAGGTTTTAAGGATTATTACAAATATATGGATTTATGAATCCATATTATGGAATCAAGGTCATAATTTTTAAAGTAGACAAAAATGTTGATGTAGACATGGAAAAATATTGTTTATTGTTCAAACTATCTTACTATTTTTATTTACCATTTTTATTTTGTACATAGAAGTATCACTTGTATGCACACCATTTTTTATACAACACAAAAAAACGATATCGATAACAACAAGAGCTACCTATGTGTATAAAAGTAGTACATTTATGCTCAAAATAAAAGTGATATTTGAAAATAATAAAGGTAATTTGGGCAAATGAATGGTATTTTTTTATTTTATCTTGGTCAATTTAATTTAATTTAATTTTTTTTTTTTTTTTTTTTTTTAAGTATTATGACTTTGATTCCACCAAATGAGTATATATATGGTCCATAACCCCATGTATGAGCAATAATTCCTAGGTTTAAAAGATTTGAACCTGCTCCAACCCAATATTTCAAGTGAGATACAATTTATCCCACTCAAGGCCCAATTGCCCATTTGTGAATATTATATACATGGAAAAAGCTATGGGTACGGTGGAGTCCATTTGTGAATTTGTGAATTTTTTAATTTTTTAAAAAATGAAGAAGATAATCATGTGGTTCATTTCAAATTTTTAAATCTAATGAGGTAAAATTCTAAAAATAAACATTAGATTTAAATGCCCACCAACAGCAACATTATTTAATTAATGAAAAAATAATAATTACAATGACCCCCATGAGATTTGACCTATTGACAACATTATTTAATACAATGTTGAGAGATTTTTGCAATTTGGGGGCTTCCATTTGCTAGCATATTTGGAAGGCGAGAAACGACTTGCACTTTGAGCACTTTTGCATTGATGCTTTGGAGGTGGTCAATAAGGCCATCTCAGCTTTTCATGAATTTTCTAAGATCATGGCTCAAACATGTTATGCTTGCTTTGCCTAAGGTGGATACTGCTCTTACTCTTTCTCTGTTTCCCCCAATAGTTGATAGAGTGAAGCTAAATTTTGATATATCCTTGTGGATTGCTAGAAATGTGGAGGTGGAATCATTCTTAGAGATTTGTTGGGTCGTCTTATGAAATATGCCTATATATATATATATATATATATATATATATATATATATATATATATATATATATTTTTTTTTGCAGTTTGTCAATTCAACGGATATGGTCGAAACTTTGATCCTTTATATATGCCTATCTCTTATCTAAGACTTGGGCTATACCAACGTGGACGTGGAAGGGGATTGTTTGTCAGTGATGAACTTGTCACTTCTTTCTTCATCTCTTTCAATTGTGATTGAGGTGGGATGCAATCTGGTTCGATCCCTTCGTTCTTGTAATAACGTGGCCGCATGCTATCAGTGTCTCCCTTCGATCTCGCTCGTCAGATCTATGTTGGGATGTTTGGCCAGAATTGTGATACCCCCAGATTTTCGAATGCGGGTTGGCCAGGCCCACGCCCGAATACCCGAGGATATCAAAAACAAATCGGCAATAAACGAACACAGAGTACAAAAAGTATAAAGAAGAATAAATAAAATGCTGACAAGAAACTAAAATGATAATCTAATAATAAATCTTAGAATATATTTTCATTAATTAATAAACTCTTCTGATACAACTGATCCTCCAAAATACAACTCGGGAATCCAAATTGTGTGGACCCCTAGAAAATTCAAACTAAACAAATGATAGCAATAACTGTCTAAATCAGGAAACTGAATCATAAAGGAACTCCTATGCAGCATCGGAAGAATGAAGTAGACTAATCCCCGCTCAGCACGAACAACCTCTACTCTTAACGAACTCCTGAAAAATAATGGTGGGTCAGGCCCACAAACAAGTTCTACTCTACTACTGTCCAAGCAGAGATCCGATACACGTATACATCATAGTCAATCCAACAATAACTAGTAGTCCGTATATATATATATACACACACTAAAGGAACCTCACTAGACTATAGGGTTGTCTCAACCTGAATAGTAGGCAACATGCAAAACGCACATATAGTGGGCATGAGTACCTAGACCTACCAGGGTACACAACTACACTATATCTAGCTACACATCCCTGGCGATATATGCGCCCTAACCACTAATCCTAAGACTCAAGCTCATATCATGGCACCATACTTATATATATAAAATCTAGTAACCATCCTATTCAGTATAAATTAATCCTTCATAAGTCATTCAACTTGTTCAGCTGACCTGACTTGAATATAAGTAAGACTTAACATTTTAGTTAATCCATTCCCTTATATAATAAATTAATCCCCCATAAGTCATTCAACTTGTTCAGCTGACCTGACTTGAATATAAGTAGGACTTAACATTTTAGTTAATCCATTCCCTTATATAAAATAGGTAGGACTTAACTGATAAGTTAATCCGTCTCTAGAATGCCACCGTCCCATACCGGTGCATTTAAACCACACAATCCAACAATTAATGTAACGATTAAGGAAATACGTCAAACAATCCAGAAATAACTATGATAATATGATATCAAGTTATCACAAAATAGGAATGACTTATTATTTATTTAAGCTTCCTATATCATATGTCCTACATAAACTGATTCTTATACATATGATGATATTTTATTATACCGTCAAATAAGTATTCTCCATATCCAATTCATCCTACACATTTAATCTCAATTACTAAAGTATATTAAAAGATTAAATTCATTCGTTTGTTTAAAATATTCAAATAGCAAGCATCATTATGATTGAGTCTATTTAAATTTATTTAAACCCAAACCTAGTTCCCATTTAATGTTCAGGAATCCTAGGCATGTTTCTACGTTCCATCATTCCACAGATATGAAAAATACATAATTTAAACATGTAAAAATTCACACCGAAAATCAAATCAAAATCATGCATTTGTCAATTCATAATACAAGAACAGATATGAACAAAATTCATAAAATTTATGTTCTGATCTAATTAAACATGCATAATTATTTAATTTTATGTGTTTAATAAATCCTGAAATTTCCTAGGCATGTACAGAAACACGAATCAAAGAGAAAGAGATAGAAGAAGAACTTGTCTTAAACTTTCGGATCGAAAGTTAAACTTCTTCTTCCTTGATCTTCTCTCTACAGGGTTTTTTTTTTTTTTTTTTTTTTTCTCTTTCCCTCTCTAACTCTCTCTCTCTAGAATATATCACGTGGATATTTCTAACCCCCTTTTACAACCTATAGTTATATATTTATAGGCTAAATAAAATAATCCCAACCCTTTTCCCAATCCAAGTTAACTTAAAAAA